GCGCGCCGCCTTGGCCGGGCCTAGCACTGGCTCGTCGCGGTAGTGGCCGCAGCTCGGGAAGCTGGGCGGTGGTGGTGGCGGTGGCGGTGGCGGTGGCGGTGGCGGCGGCAGGGGCGCGGTGTCCTCCCCGAACCTGCGCGTGGTGGCGGGCGCTGCGGGGACAGACGACACGTTAGAAGATTGCACCCCCACCTTTCCTCCGCGCCCTGCAAGAGGCAGCTGGAGGCGTGCATGGGGGTGCAAGATTGGACTGCATGCGTGCATGGAGTGCAAGATGCAGTTACAGGCGTGCAAGATGCAACTGCAAGTGTGCATGGGAGTGCAAGATGCAGTTGCAAGCGCGAGTGTGGAACAGGTGGGGTTTATACTGAAAAATAAGCTCAGTGCACCAGAGCCAAAGTACTAAAATATGCTGTCAATATTAAAATATGCTCAAATAGCCACTGGAGGCTAGTGGACACTTTATTGGACAGCAGGGGAGTGGAAGCGAAGAGGGGTCCTTTTCACAGTCTACCCTGAGTTTTGCTTATTTCTCAGTGGGATGTGGATGGTAACCACCTGTCCTGTTTAGCAATATCATGATTAAAGTAATAATCACACCCATTTAATAGTAGCATCCTGAGCTTTCTACCGGGTAAGACCTTTGGCTTCCTTTAATACCGGAGACTAGGAAGTTGATCACAAATTGGCTCAAATTAAGCACTTTTCGCCCTTTTCTCTCTTGTAACCAGATATGACACAAATAGGAGTTTGTCAACCATTTTTACTTTAAATAAGTAATAACGCTGGATGTGGCCTACGCCTTTAATCCCAGCACTCAGGAGGCAGAGGCAGGTGGATGTCTGTGAGATGGAGGCCAGCCTGGTTTACATAGCCGTTTCCAGGCCTGCTGGGGCTACAGAGAGACCCTGTCTCAAAAAAAGGAAAAAAATAGTAATAAAAATCGAATTCTCTGTGTTATATCATTAATCATATCTCATATATAAAGAAATAATAAGTCCATCTCATATGGATGTTTACAAAATTCTTTACTTTTCCATTCCTTGGATGTTTGGAAAAATCCCTTCTTGGCTGTGTGAGGGACCCAAGTACTGGTGGGTCCTGGGAATCCAGCCATCCAAGGGGAGAGATCATGGCTGCTGGGACAGGCTGGGGCCAGGGCAGGGCAGGGCAGCCCTGGTGGCGGCTGTGGTCTTTTCTGAGGTGTCTGCTTTTGAGAACCATGTTCTTCTGATCTCCAGGAAGGCTTGATTTCTCCCATGACTCTCTCTACTCTGATTTGAATATTAAATGTAAAGACTGCTCACAACATGGGGGTCAAAGAGTCCCAGAATCTGCATAGAAAGCAGCTTGGGGGGATGGGCATAGGACAGGAACATGAATCCAGGGGCTGGCTGCCTTTGAATAAAGGCTGATGTGATTCTTTTCTGGAGTGCCACTCTGATGTGGTGGTTATTCTCATAGGGGTCCCTGCAGACCGTCCCTACTGGCTTGCTCTGTGCTCTGAGCAGTCACTAGGTCTATGTGGGACAGTTAACCATCTTCCCACAGCTAGCTCTCAGGCCCCGCCTATCACCCTCTGCCTAGGGTGGTCTAAATAGCAAACAGGAGTCTCCGGGGTCCCAGGCAGTGGGTGGCGCCTCTCACCTACCACCTGGAGGAGAAGCCAAAAGGCCAGTCCTGGGTTGTGATTGAACTAGCACATACTGTTAGGTGCCTAGATTGTGCTAAATCCTGGTGTAGGCTCACTGTGCAGCCTATGATCCCATTTTATAGACAAAGAGGGTGAGGCCTGGAAAATTCATGCTATTTGCCCTGTGTTGGTGATGAATGGCATTTCCGCCTCCAAGGACGCGATTTTCTCCTTTTTATGTGTATGAATGTTATACCTGCATGGTTGTAAGTGCACCCATGTTGTGCAGTGCCCATAGAGGACAGAAGAGGGCATTGGATTCCCTGGAACTGGAGTTACGAATGGCAGTGGGTGCTGGGATTTGAACCTGGGTCTTCTGCAAGAACTGCCAGTGCTCTCAGCCGAGCCATCACTCCGGCCCTGTTTTCTGCACTTTTGAAAACTGGCCTGGGGAGAGACCCAGCAGGGTATTTATCTCTCCTGTTCACTCTGGAGTGAAGTGGAAGGCCCTCTATCTTGTGGGTGCAACTGGGCTGGTTTTGAAAATCACCTTTGTGGGGACTGAACATGGCCAGGAGTTATGTGGGGACTCAGTTTGCTTTTGTCCTGTATAAAGTTACTAGTGTCCTGGAACACGTGGGCTGCAGCCTATTCATTCCTCGCCTCTTGTGAAGCCATGATTGGCAGCAGGAAGGTGTGGCAATCCCTATGTAGAAGCAGAAAATGGCAAAGTTTGCCCAAAGCATGAAAACTCTTTTTTCATCTGCCATCCAATGTTAATGCCTGCCCCTTCCCCTTCCCCTTCCCCTTCCCCTTCTCCTTCCCCTTCCCCTTCCCCTTCCCCGTGTACAAACGGGACCCACCTTCATAGTTTGGCACAAGTCCATGCCGGGCAACGTTCACGGGCGGCTCAGAAAGATTTTTAGCTGCCGATGGGCTGCTAGGCACTAGGGGGTTGGCACAATGCCACTGGCATTCGCTGCTAGCTGGCAGCGTGCTCAGGAAGAAGCGTGCCACCTCACACGGGGATCCTTGGGGCTGCCCAAACTTGGCGGGCAACACTGGCTTCTTGCTACTGAAGACGTGAGAGTCCAGAGGAAAGTGTCCATAATGGTAGGAGAAGGGGAGGCTGTAGGGCGGCGTGTACAGAAGGTCACTCCCTTCTGAATGGAGCTGCTGTTCTGGGGGAACTGGAGCATTCGTCGGGGAACTGGCTCTCCAGTTTCCCAGCTGGCTGCACTCCAGTTTGTCCATTTGGAACGAGCTATATTGCTGCATGGCAAGGAAGACAGATGAAAGAAGCGAGGAGAGAGACCACAGATAAGCTCCCCTCAAGTCCCAGAAGACCAGACCTTACAGGGCCCAGCCCTAGGTGGAGGCTGGACTTACCCCAGCTCCACAATGAGGTCCCTGAGTGGAAAGAGCCTCCACTCCAAGCCAACCACACAGCAGACACTTACGGACACTTGCCACTACCCAGAACTCACTAATGACTTTTGAAGAGGGAAAGTTGTCATTTTAAAATTGCTATGAGCCAGGCATGGTGGCAAATGCCTTTAATCCCCTTGGGAGGCAGAGGCAGGCAGAACTCTGAGTTCGAGGCCAGCCTGGTCTACATAGGGAGTTGTAGACCAGCTGGGGCTACAGGGAGACCCTGTCTCAAAAAGAACACCCCTCAAATTTTTGTGAGCCAAGCAGGGTGGTGTATGCCCATAGTCCTGTCTACTTGGGAGGCTGAACAGCAGGATCACTTGAGCCCAGGAGTTTGAGGCCAGCCTGGGCAACATCATGAGACCCCAGCTCCAGAGCATACTACAACACTGGTGCTATAACCCATGCTCGTGTGGATTTGGACAGGACAATGTGTTTGGTCCTCTTTGGGCCATTCCTGACAAGTCTATCAGCTGTCAGCATTAACTGGGGCTGAACATCCCCAGTTACCCCTCAGTGACCCTCATAACTGAATATGAGGAATAAGAACCCAGGGAATAACAATGCTCAGTGACCTTATTTTGCTCCACAAGGATCCTCCTGTCTATGTGGTCCATAATTCTTGACAGACCCAGGTGTCCCCCAACTCCAGATAGATGCCATTGTGCCCCACCCTCGGGACACGTGTACCTGCGGCGGGTAGGGGTTTGTTCTCAGCTTTGCCTTCATCTTCGTATTTTTGGGTTTAGCTAATTTCCTAGTTTCCTGTGAGGTAGACAAGGTGGTCCTCCAGGAGTCCTGGGACTTGCAAGTGGACACCTGCTCCAGTGACAGTTGAAGTTCCTTGTATTCAATATCCCTGGAAAGCAAGAGTGGACGAGTCACATCCGGCAGGCCGTGTGTGGAGGAAGAACAGCTCCCTGGGCTCCAATCCCCTGAGAGTTCATCCTCAAAGCCCTGGGCTGTCACTTCAATGAGACTGGGTGTGTACGGTGGGGAGGAAGGACACACTGTCCTCCTGGTAGCCCAGACAGCACTGAGTGAGGTTTGAGCTGTTTGGCAGGGATGGAGTGAACTTGTGTCCCCCCTCCTGTCCCCTCCTCCATCTCAGCCTAACACATTTCCCTGGGACACCTGGGGCCATGGAGAAGGGGGACGGGATGTGGGGCTGACAAAGCAAAGGGGGAGAGCAGCCCCCTCCCCTCAAAGTGAACCTGTGGACCCTTACCAGTTTCTGTATCTGGGACCCAACTGTTCTCTGTTGAGCACCCCAGAAGCTAGGAGGAAGGAGCCTGTCAGAAGCCACCCCTAGCCTTGCCCACTCTGGCTCATCTCTACCCAGAAGAGCCAACCTGGCAAAGTCACATTCCGGGAGGGAGAGTCTCTCCAGAATACCACCGCACCTGGTTGCTCAGGAGGCAAAATTAAGGGGTAAAAGCATTTTCCCTCATGTAGTTTTACCACATCGCTTTCCTAAAACACACAGTGGCCTGGTGTTTGTTCTGTGAGAGAACCCAGGGTCTAAAAACCCCATTGTGTTTGAGACACACGAGAGCCCTCCTTTGGATGAGACTGGAGGGATGTGTACAGAGTCAAGGGTAGGGTGATTTACTCTAATAACTTTGGTATGTTCCAGGAAGACTTGCCTATGGTTTCTAATGGCCTTAAAAGAATCTGCATCTGAGTCTCGTGTGGTAGCCCATGCCTGTAATTCCAGCACTTGGGAGGCTAAGGCAGACAGATCATGGGATCCAGGCCAGCCTGGGCTAATGGCAAGACCCCCCCCATCTTAAATTTTCTTTTCAATTGAACTTGACTGTCTGGGGTCTTTCAGGGGCCAGTATCCACCATCATTTGGAATAGACTATGTCAGAAGACAGAGAAATGGAGGAATTTGGTGTGTTCCATGTGGCAGGAGCACAGATGTATATTCCTGGTGTGGGTCGTGTGCCCTCTTTGCACCCTGGGCTCTGTGCAGGGATCTAAGCTGCACCCCGACAAGGCTCACTCATCAGCGCTGGCACCACTCCCTAGAATTTGGCCCTCACCACTCTGCATGTTAATGGTTGGGCCCTTCCCTAGCTACCAGGTTTGTTCTGGTAAGACGAAAACAGGAGACAAATGAACAGTTGTGGAAAGAGTGGGGAAGAGATGGTGTTTCTTAGAGTGATGGACGGATGAGGACAGAGCAAGGAGAGAAACAAATACGGCTGACTTACGTGAGAACATAATTGACACTCACGATGCAGTGGGGCCGGGAGGAGCGGCTGTTGTGCACCACGGTGGCGTAGCTCTGCACCCACACCCAGCCGCCCAGTTTGGACAGCAGTCGGTAGTATTTGGTGGTGACCTGGCCCTTCACAAGCACTGCAAGCACAAGATGACAATGAGTGCTGGGGGCCTAGGTGGGTCCTGCCCTATGCCTCTGACTCACAGCCTTTGCGGGCAAAGGACCTCTGAGAACTTGGCAGAGGGTGGGCTTTATCTGCAGGAGCAAGCGTACACGTGTGTACGTGCGCAGAGAGAGAGAGACAGAGAGAGAGAGAGAGAGAGAGAGAGAGAGAGAGATGCTGCCTGCAGAAGTCATGGAATAGCCCCTCCCCTCTTGTTAAGAACCCCAATTAACTAAGTCACAGCTTTCATGAGAAAAAAAGCACCCAGACAACACCAGTACCTGCAGAGTGGTGAAATCGGATTAGCTTTTTAGTATCTGAAATACCCCAATTATGTTTTAATCCCCCAAATCTTTAATGGGCAGAGGGACTTAGTAATTTAAACAGAATGCTAACTTCAGTGCATTCAACCTAAGTGTCAGACTGGTGCTGCCATCTGCCATCTGTCAGAATGGGTCTGTTCACAGGGAAGTTGCCTGTTACTCCAGTGCCGTTTATATTTTCTTCTCAATTACCCATTTTCCAAGGGCTAGTAATTTCCTGTGTTGCTCATGTAAGCAAGTCCTCTGCTTGGGGACACAGCTCCTGAAAATTGGACCCTTGAGCCTATCCTCAATGCCTGGATGCAATGGGCTGCCAAGCTGTTTCCCTAAAGCCTCCGTGCACCCATAAACCACCGCTCCCCCTGCAGCCCTCAAGCAGGCATATGGAGGAAGGCCTGGAAGGGGAGGAAAGTGCCAGAAACTGCAGGTGGGCAGTGGAGGAGGGTAAGCGGAGCAAAGGCATGGAGGCTATTTCACCTCTATCTCTAGAACATTCCTGGCACCAGGCCCTTACTTAGAAACTGACAGAACAGCCACCCTTTCCATCTTGCTGGGTAACATCTATCCCTCTTACCATGCTGTGTAACAGCCATCTCACTGACTCTTTTCTGTTTAGGATGGATTCTGGCTTCTAAACAGATTGGCTTGGTGGGAGCAAGATCCAGGCTTCTGAGCACAGAGATGGCAGTGGAGGAGAGGTGTTCCCAGTGCTTCTCCTTTGGGATTTTTGTGTGTGTGTGTGTGTGTGTGTGTGTGTGTGTGTGTGTGTGTGTGTGTGTGTTGGGGGGTCTCACTATGTAGCCCTGGCTGGGCTGGAACTGGCTATGTAGACCAGGCTGGCCTCCAACTCAGAGATCCACCTCCCTCTGCTTCCTGAATGCTGAGGTTCAAGGCATGCGTCACCATGCCCAGTCTTGAGTGTATGCTGCTTTAACAAAACAGCTTGGTTTCTGTTTCCAACATGTATTCACCTAGATTGCCTCATCCCCCTTAACAGGAAAGGTGACATCCTTATGAAATTGGGGTAGGTAAAGCTTGGGACCACAGCTAAGCCCGGCCCACATGTCCTTAGCATAGTGGCTGAACAGGAGAGGCAGCAGACTCCAGGGACGATTCTCTAGAGCTACCGATGGGGCACACTCATTTGTTTACAGATAGCCAACAGATGTGACCCACAGACTGATGTGACCTGCAGTGCTGTCTGAGACTTTCCCAGAGTGTCAGGCTTCCTCCAGTGCTGACATCTGTGCCTCATCTCTGTGAAGACCCAGGAATAAGACTGTATATTTTTCCTTTTTTTTTAAAATCATGTACTTTATACTTTTATTTCTTATAACATTCCACAAACACACACACACACACAAACTGTCTGCAATCATCTTAAACAGGATAAATGGACACAGTTTTTCCCAAATAGTTTTAGAATCAAACTGCAGAAGTCTCTGAGATTTTAGTATCTCTGTCTGATCGTCCTTGATTCACCATGACAAGATCCAAAGGCTAAAACAAATGTTGACATATTTTCCTATGACCCATGGCAACAGTCGACATCAACCCAGCCGTCCCAGACCTCTCTGTCCTTCTGAAGCTAGGCTTTCCTACCAAGATACAGGGTTGAGGTTACAGGGATGTCAAAGAATGTCCCAGCTACAGGCTGAATTGTGTCCTCCCAAATTTGTAAGTTGCAATTCTCACCCCTGATGCCTCAGAACATGACTGTATTTGGACAGTACCTTTATAGAGGTAGCTAAAGGAGCATGGGGTCACAGAGGTGGTCCCTGGTCCATTTTGACCCATGTCCTTATAAGAAAGGTTGTCCAGGAGGACACACAGAGAGAACATGGGGCGGATGCGAAGGACAGACCCTCCAGAGGAGACAGCCTGACACCTTGAGTTTGAACTTCCAGCCTCAGAACCGTGAGAAAAATTTGTATTGTTAGAGTTTCCTGGTCTGTGGCAGTTTGTCATGACAAGCCCTGGTGTGCTGAATAGCTTTAGTGTCAACTTGACACACCTGGGTAGAGGGAGCCTCAATTGGGGAATTGCCTCCTTTGGATTGGCCTGTGGCCATGTCTATGGGACATTTTCTTGATTGTGGAGTGATGTGGGAGGGCCCAGCCCACTGTGGGCGGTACCACCCCTGGGCAGGTGGTTCTGTATGGTATAAGAAAGCATGTTGTTGAACACAGACCAGGGGAGCAAGCCAGTGAGCAGCATTCCTCCATGGCCTGTCTTCAGCTCCTGCCTCCAGGTTCATGCCTGAGTTCCTGCTTTGGGCTCCCTGACCCGGGAGATGTTAAGATAAATAAACCCTTTCCTCCCCAAGTTAGTATTGGTCAGAATGTTTTGTAACAACAGTTGAAGGCAAACTATAATACTTGGAGAGTTTATCTTTTCCCCAAAAAGATCTGAACAGCATGAGACAGAAAAGTCTTCCAGAAACAAGAATTTATGTCCCCTTTGTTGAGTTCTGAGGAGCCCAGTAGTACCTAACCACCTCAGCAGGAGAAGCAGCAGCCTTGAGCACTGGGCCAGGAATGGAGACATGATTGCACAGTGGCGGGGGTGGGGGGGTGGCTCTGAAGATGCTCTAGTTGGTCAACAGGGACCTTAGGCAGAGAAGGTGACAGGGCCCCCCAAGGAGAGGTGTGACCTCTGGGTACAAGAGACTGGGAGCTGACCAGAAAATAGCCCAAATGGCAGCCAAGGAGAGGAGCCTGAGGAAGGGCTGGGGAGAGGTCAGCTTTGTGCTGGCTGGTGGCCACCTCTGGCTGCCAGCACCTGCTCTCCTGCCTGAGGTCTTTGTAAAGCAAAATGCACTCTGAACATCCATGGAACAAGTTAGGGAATTAGTACCCCCACACACACAAGAATCCCTTAGCTGAGGACTGTAGGAATTGCTGGCCACTCTTTCCTCCCACCCGGTAACTCTAAGGCAAGGCCCCCTGACTGGCTCCCAGAGCACCCCAGGGATGGGAACCTCTCTCTTTTTTAAGACATGTATCTCATGTATCTCAAGCTGGCCTCAGACTCTCTATGTACCCAAGGATGACCTTGAACTTCTGATCTTCCTGCCTCTACCTCCTGAGTGCTGGGATTATAGGCATGCACCACCATACACTGTTTATATGGTACTAGAGATTGAATCCAGGAACCTAGGGCCTTGTGCACACACTCTACCAGCTGAGCTCCATCCCCAGCCCTAGAGTTCTGTTTGCTGCTCCTTCTTGGCTTTGGCTTACCTCATTCCACTGGCCACACTTCAGTCACCATTCAAATCAACCATTGCATATGAACTCCATCAGGTCAGCAGCCAGAGTTCAAGGATGCAACCAGCCTTCCACAACTAAAAACAAGCCTGGAGGTGGCCTCTCTGTTCCAGTTCTGGGCCTGGGAAGGAGTGTGAGGTCTCTGCCCCCTACCCATGCTAGGGAAGGTTCAAAGTCATCAGAGTGCCACATCATGGGGATAGTACCCCTGAACACCAAGTTCTGGGTCTTCCCTCATGTCTGGAGTTCTGTTCGGGTAGCCCAGACCAGTGCTTGGCTACCCTGAGACGCTGTTACCTCTGTTACCATAAGACATGAGTGGGTCCAGGGTTGGAACTAGCTCCAAGTCATGCAGTTTCTGTGCTATGCCTGGGTAAGCGCATTGGTTAAGACCTCCTCATCCTCCAGCCTAAACAGGAAAAGCCAAGTGGACTCATGGAAATCTCAGCCGCATTCAGCTCCCGGGCCTGACTGGCATGCGTTCTGTCCCCCTTCCCTCTTTGATAGTTCCTTGGCCCCAGAGTCACAAGAGCAGCAATCAATGGTCAGCACTGCCATTTTCTGTTTTCTTTGATTTGCTAATTCTGGCAAATCGAATCTTGAGATAGAAAGTTGCACTCCCTCTAATTTCTAGGCCCCCGAGACTTGGCTGTAAATCTGAGTTGCCTTCAGACACCTTCCCATCAGAGTCCCTCAGGTTCCCAACAACATCTAGAAATGGCAAACTTTCCATGAGATGAAGCAGGTTCATCATGTAAATCACAGGACACCTGTCCCAGGTACTCTGCAGGGCAGGGGTCTTGGCAGAAAGAAACCCAGCCCTCGTGGGAACCATGTGGTGGGAACTGCTGAAGCCTTGACGGCTGCCAGATTCAGCCGTTGCCCTTCTGCAAGTGGCCCTGGGGCCACACCCTGGGAACTGGACAGAAATACAAGAAGGTTCGTGTATTATGTGAACACAACAGCCAGAGTTGTAAATGAAAAGTCTGTCCACCCCGGGGACACAAGAGCCACACAACTAGCATCACAAGGGCCTCCATGGCCTTCCTAAAACCCAGCTTTGCTCTGCCCCTTGCTGGGGGGAAGAGCAGATTCCTGTTCCCTGCTTTAGCCAGCCCCTGGGGTAACTTACGCACTAGCTTGCTTTCTCCAGTCTTTGGAGACCCCACTTTGAGGTGCAATACTCTACCCTATGCAACCCCTCAACTCCCACACTGAGCTGGAAAGTCCAGCCTGCCTCCTGCCCCCAACAGGTTTAGCAGGAGCCCCACCCTTACTCTCTGATGCCACTGTCTTTCCTTCCAGATGGTTCTATGGGGCATGTGGGGCTCCACAGAAAATGGGCTTTTCTACCTCAGGTTTTCAGAGCATGCCTCCTTCACTTGCATATAAAAATCTGTTCCTTCAAGTCTCCTGAATTTGGAAGTCTGTGGGCAGCACTTTCTACCTGTTTCTAGGTCCTGTGTGAGACTAGTCCATGCATTCCATCCCAGTGCCCAGCCTCTGCTCCAAACCAAGGCTTGTCTCAGAGCAGTGATGGTCCTGTTTATGACAGATCATGATTAGTCATTAAAAGAAAATGAGAGAGGGTGGGGAGATGGCTATAGATAAAAAGCTTGCCATACAAACATGAGGGTCTGAGTTTGGATCCCCTACACCCACCTAAGGGTCTGTCATTCCAGACTTGGGAGAGGGCATGGAGACAGGCAGATCCTTGAAGCTCACTGACCAGCTAGTCTAGCTGAATCCATGAGCTACAGGTTCAGTAAGAGACACTGTCTCCAAAAATAAGGTACAAAGAGACAAAGACACTTGAAGTTGAACTCTGGCTTCCACAAGATTGCACACACGTGTGCATGCATACCCCCACACGTGTTCATATCCACAAAACATGTACATACACCATACACACAACACCACGCACTCCCATACACACATATGAATTGTTCCTGAGTATCTCTGTGCCAAGGGGGCGAGGAATCTGGCTCTCACAGGTCTCCTGCCTGTGGACTTGTGGGGAGAACGGCATTGATTCCTAGATGATGTCCTGTTCACTGGCCCCTGGTCCACACTGCATAGCTGAGAACAGTGCAGCCCCTGACCTGCCATCCACTCCCAGGGACACTAGCAACTGTCCTCGAACATCTCATAGCTGATCAAAATGAAAACTGAGGACATGTCAAACCGGGCTACACAGAGAAGATCTGTCCCTTCCAACTAGCTGCACCCCACTAAGCAGCCCTGCACCCACCACAGGCCTGGTGGGGCTGAATGGCAGGAGGTTGATGCATTTCCCTCCACCCAAATCATCTCTGGATTCTAGAAAAAAAGGTGTCACCTCTTTAAACAAACCTGCTCCAAACCCTGATGTCACCAAACAATCAAATACTGCCAGCTCATGAGTGGAGAGCCAGCTTTTCCTACAGTGAAACAAAGGGTGCCCCTGGGCCTCCTAGCAGGACAAGACTCAGCCTGAACTCTGCTGAGACTTAGCTCTTGATGCTGCCCGTGTGACCACAGGCAAGAGGTATTCCCTCTTTGAGCTTTAGCAGCCTTAATGGGAAAACGAAGGTTATGAATATAGGAATCTCAGTCGTTGGGAACCTATTTAATCCCTTTATCTAGTTCCTGGCCACACGGAGGGCTCAGCAACTGTTCTTGCACTGATGTTGTTGGTCTTCATAAAACCTGTCCAGATTCTACATGCTAGAATCTAGGGCTCCAAATCCACCTTCTAGAATTCAGGGTACTGGGACCTAATGTCCCTAAGGCCAGGCCTGTGGGTGCTGGAGAAGTGGCAGCAGGGCCTGCAGTTAGCAAGGGGCAAAGGGAGTCACAGTGGGACTTAAGACTCACACATATGCCTGCTTCAAGCCAGGGGCATGTTCCCCCACCCTGTCCTCAGAGCCTCCACCCTGGCCAGCTGCCTCCCGGGCCCGCTTGATACTCACGGAGGTGGTGGGCATAGCGGAGGTGGAAGGTGTCACAGCCATGCACGTGGTGGTACAGCGTCTTTTCAATCAGGTCCTGTGGCTCGTAGCCTGTGAGCTCGGTCACCCTGGGGGAGGATGGCAGCTCTGTGAACTTTCCTTTAAACTAATATTGGTTTGGCCAACTAATCAAGTGCTAAAAGGCCCGGGGGGAAGTGTTGATTTTGGAAATGGAGAATGATCTTTCTTACAAGAAGCAAGTCTTTGAACTCTAGTTCAGAGCAGGATGTAGAAGTGTTTGTGAGCGAGAACGCTCTTCCAGAGGCATTGGTTTCCAGAGGCATTGGTTTCCAGAGGCATTGGTTTCCAGAGGCATTGGTTTCCAGAGGCATTGGTTTGGAAGCATGTTTGGGATGGCTGAGTGTCAGAACCTGTCTTGAAACCTGGCCTATCTGTGGTGCTGAGGGGAGTGCTCTGGACAAGCTGCTGTGAGCCACTTTGCAACTCACCTTTTTTTCCCCTTTTCTCCTTTCTTTCTTTTTTTAAATTAAAAAAATGTATATATGTATGAGTGTTATGCCTTCATATATGTAAGTGCACTCATGTAGTGCAATGCCGGTGGAGGACAGAAGAGGGTGACGGATCCCCTGTAGTTATGGGTGGTTGTTAGCAGCCATGTGGGTGCTAGGATTCAAACCTGGGTCTTCTGCAAGAACAGCCAGTGCTCCTGACTGCTGAGCCATCTCTCCAGCACCCGCCCCAACTTTTTGAGATGGGATCTCTCATTGTAACCGAATGGGCTCGAGTGACTGCTGGTCAGAGAGCCCCAGCAATCTTCCTGTCTCTGTTCCCCCAGTGCTGGGGTTATAGCACCACCATGCCCAGCATTATTATTTTATTTATTTATTTAGTGGTATGTCTGTACCCAACTGTCCATATGTGGAAGTCAGAGGACAGCTTGTGGGAATTGGTCCTCTCCTTTCATCATGTGGGTCCCAGGGATTGAACTCAGGTCATCAAGCTTGGCAACAAGTGCCTTTACCCTTCTGAACCATCTCTCCAACCCCATGCCTGGCTTTTTTTACGTGGTTTCTGGGCATCTGAACTTGAGTCTTCATGCTTTACACAGCAAGTACTTTACCCACTGAGCATCTTCTTAGCTCTTTTATTTTTCATTCTAACAAAATAAACATTTGTTATTTCATTTGTTATTTTAACTATTTTATGTGCTCAGTTTGGCAGCATTAAAATTCAGTAGTCACACTGTACCACCATCGTCATCATCACTTTCTAGAACTTTCTCACCACCCCAAACAAAAACTCCACACCTATTAAACACTACCTCCCCAGTCCCCTAACCCTGACCACTGCCTCCCTAGTCCCCTTGCCCCAGCTCCTCTTCCATTCTATTTTGATCTCCTTGAACTTGACTGCTCTGTTTGTCCCTTGAGTAGAATACTACAATGTAACCTCTGGCTTCTGGCTCCTTCACACAACATAACATTTTAAGGTATGTGTGTGTGTGTGTGTGTGTGTGTATGTGTCTATATGTGTGTGTCTATATGTGTGTCTCTGTGTGTATGTGTGTGTATGTGTATGTCGGTGTCTGTGTGTGTGTCTACAAGTGTATGTCTGTGTGTCATCTGTTGTCTTTGAGGGGCGAAGAGTGTGTGTGTGTGTGTGTGTGTGTGTGTGTGTGTGTGTATTTGTGTGTTTGCTTGCCTGAGACCAGAACTCAGCATCAGCCCCCTTGGAACTGGAGTTAAAAGTGGTTATGAGCCATCCAATATGGGTGCTGGGCACTCAAATCCAGTCCTCTGGAAGAGTAGTGAGCTCTCTTAACAAGAGTCTTCTCTCCAGCCCCAAGCATAAGATTTTTTTAAGGCTTATTGTTATTTGTAGTATGTGTCAGAAGATTTCTTTTTGTGACCAAATTCTTGTTCATGTGGATACCACAGTTGTGCATTTTGTTTATCTACTTTGTTGATGGACACCAGGGTCGTTTGCAGTTCCTGACTACTGTATGTTATTTATTATTTATTTATTTATTATTTATTTATTTATTTATTCATTGAGACAGGGTCTCATTATGTAGCCCCAGCTGGCCTGGAACTTGCTATATAGACCAGACTGGCCTTGAACTCACAGTGATCCACCTACCTCTGCTTCCTGAGTGCTGGGATTAAAGGCATGTACCACCCACCACACATGGCCTTTGTTGGATATTTAAATCTCTGTACCACACTATGCACTGTAAATTGGGATGGTTGGTCTCTAGATCTTACAGTTGGGTAATTTGTACTAATGGGAATTATGGAGTAACTGTGTAAGCCTGATATCAGCACAGGATTAATGCAGACCCCCCAGAATTTTATTTTAGTGTAGCAACTAAAAATATTATGACTGGAGGGTGAAGCTTAAGCTGGCCATAGAAGAGGCCCCAGTGTGTCTGTGACATGATCCCTCTTTACTCTCATCAAGCCCCGGGCATATTAATTTCCCACTTCTGCACTTTGAAGAGAAGTGGCTGTCAGCAGCTACGACCCCGGCAGCCTTGGGACTGCCCTGCCTGTGGGTGAAACTGTGTGTGGTAGCAGCAGGCCCTGCACACTTGGCCCAACCAAGCTGGGAACCGTGCCCTAAGGAAGAGGTGGCCCTAAACATCTTGGTGACAGATCTTCAAGGACAGATGAAAGCAAGGGGAAGGATTCCAAAGGACGCAAGGCTTTGGGAAGAAGAGGGTTCTGAGGATAGTGGGGGAGGAGGGGGATAATGAAGAAGGCTGGACTTGGGGGGCCCCCGTTCTCCAGGACTTGAAACTCTAGCTGTAAACAGAACCAGGAAGCGTAACCTATTTTCATTCTTTAGCCCACTGCTTCTCCTTCTGTGGCGTTCTGCTCATAAATCTCCCCCAGCCTAGTGTTTCCCTAGAATGGCTCCCTGCTTGGCACAACTGTTCCCTTGGTTTTCCTCCAAGCTGGGGAGGGAGCAGTGCTTCCGGTTGCTGGGAGACTGGCCCCCATGCTGGTGATTCAGGGCTCTAGAGACTTGTCCAATGGCCACCTAGAACTGCAAACTCAGCCAGGTCTGACTGGGTGACAGGAAGAAAGTGACAGCTAGCTGCCCTCCAACAAAAGCCAGAGATCTCTAGAGTGGGATGAGAGACTTCTAGGGGCCCTGGGGCATCTCGCTTATACAGGAAGGAACCCAAATGTGTCAATGAATCAGAAACACATGTACCATCACCAGCTTTAAAAATTAAAGGGCAAGAGAAGGGCTTGGCTGGATGCCCTCCTGCGTTTGTCAGATCTCCAGTGTCTGAAGACCTGTCAGAGGGATTTGCCAGACCCCAAATATTGCTGGCTTCACCCAGCCTTAGCAAAAGCACCAGCTATAGTTTTCAAAGTGAAATAACCACAAAACCCCAAGGATCCAAATGTCAGGTTATGCTGGGTTCAGTTGTGTCTAAAACTGTGCTGGGTGCGCAGCTTGCAACTGCCCTCCAGGCCCACCCATTCTTGCTCCTGTGACTTTGGAGACCTCAAGCCAACCCCCTGCTGTAGCTCCCGGGGCTTGGGTGCTGAAGCACCACCAGTCGGTTACTGCTGCCCTCCCTGGGCTGGACCAGCCCTGTGCCAGAGGGCTTTTAAAACCATGGAGTTGCAGAGAGGTCAAGATCTTGTGAAGGGTTCTGACTCCGTGCAGTCCCTTCCTACATGACAGGAGTTAGGGACAGGCCTTGAAGCTTGGCTAGAATCTTCCTAATACTCAACAGAAAGAAATACAAGTTGGAGTAGGGACAGGACATGTCCCTCCAGCTCACTATTCTTCCTGCCTACATGTGTGCAGCCCTCACATCTGAGGTACAGGGACACCCAAGGGCACTCTTCAAAGGTGCAACCTTACTTCTGAGCTAACCTCTGCCTTTTGCTGGACAGATCCTCTGTTCTGCAAACAACAGCAGGCTGAACAGCTGGAAAAGACCTCCAATCCCTCCTCTGGGAACACAGTCCCAGAGAATTCATAGGTCTCATGGAGTTTTCTTGAATTATCCAAGAAATACACGGAGGCAGAGAGAGGAAGAAACCAGTCCTTACCTCCCCAAGTCATGAGCTTGAAGAGCCCACTTTCTTCCAGCTTATTTTCAGAAGTGGCTCCTGATAAAGGAGAGATGTCCCCTGTCACTAAACTTCCCAGGCTCTGAAGCAGCTGGCCCAGCCCCTAATCTGCAGCCCCTAACCTGTAGCCCCTAACCTGTAGCCCCTGTGTCTACAGAAAGGAAAACAGAATTGGGCACCATTTCACATCTCTGGACGTGCTGGTGATGTTCCCCAAAGACCTCTGTGTACTCTTTGCTTACAGTCTCTGAGAAGATAGGGTGACTCTGAACACTCAGTAATGCCAACTCTTACTTCTCTCCTTTGATTGGCTCTGAGGAGCATGGAAGATGGTCCTGACTAAGTTCATGTCTCATCTCTTACCCTAAATCACATGGATTTGTCTCTTCTCCGTAAAGACATAGCTGGTAACATGATCAATTTTATGGGATGTTTTAATACCATAGTTCTCTCTTTCTCTCTCTCTCTCTCTCTCTCTCTCTCTCTCTCTCTCTCTCTCTCGTTTTCCTTTGTTTCTTGTTTGGTTTGGTTTATTTGAGAGGGGTCTCACTTTGTAGCCTAAGCTGGCCTTGAATCTGCCTTAGACTGGCCTGAAACTCATGGCAATCCTCCTGCTTCAGCCTCCCAAGTGCTGGGATTGTAAGTGTGAGTCATTAACACTATTTTTTTGGCTTTTTTGAGACAGGGTCTCCCTGTAGCCCCAGCTGGCCTGGAGGTCACTATGTAGACCAGGCTGGCCTTGAACTCACAGAGATCTGCCTGCCTCTGCCTCCCAAGTGCTGGGATTAAAGGTGTGTGCCACCACGCCCAGCTCATTTAGGGGCATTTTTAAATGTTAAGCTTTTATTTTCTTTCTTTCTTAGGGTGGATTTTGAAAATAAAGTTGTTTTTTTTTTGGTCTTTTTGAGGCAGGGTCTCTCTGTAGCCCCAGCTGGCCTAGAACTTACAGTGTAGACCAGGCTGGCTGGTCTTGAACTCACAAAGAACCACCTGCCTCTGCCTCCCAAGTGTGTGTGCCACCACACCTGGCTTTCAGTAACACTATTTTTAAAATTAAAAATAGAACAAAAAATAAATCAACAGCCCAGCATAATGGCACATGCCTGTAGTATCAGTTTCTTATAAGGTTAAGGCAGGAGGATTGCTTGAGTCCTGGAGCCCGTGAGGGATCGCAGACCACTTGTTCCACCTGCGCAACAGAAGAAACCAGGGGCCAAGAGGCAACGCAGCCTCGCAGGCCTCTGAGGCTTTGCTTTTTCAATTCCTCATAGTTATTATCTAAGTTCATCTTTCATAAGGACTCTCAGGTAGAGTGGATGGACAGGTCAGACATTGTACCAAAATGACAACAGAGCAGGTTCCACTGGCCTGAGACTGTGAGCTCTGTGGAGACTCTGGCTGTCCCGGAGTGTGCATGCTCCTGTATTCAAGCACCTCCGACGTCTTGTAAAATATATAGTTATTCATTGTCAATTAAAAATGAAAATAACCAGGGTGGCCGCACACGCCTTTAATCTCAGCACTCAGAGGCAGAGGCAGGAGGATCTCTGTGAGTTCAAGGCCAACCTGGTATACATAGTGACTTCCAGGCCAGCTGGGGCTACAAGGAGACCCTGTCTCAAAAAGACCAAAAAATTAATTAATTAAAATAAAAATTTGTGAAGTCTTCAGCTCCCCTAAGCAAGCTCTGAGGCTCCTCCAGCAAGGCCTCCTGAAACAAAAACCCTACTACTGCCTCAGCCCAGACACCATCAGGGCACCCACAAGTGTGGTCTAGGACCCCTGCAGGGAAGGTGACTTCTCTGTTCACCACCTTCCACTGTGGCCTTTACAGATCTAAGTGCTCCACTCCCTGTTCAGTGTGACAAAGTCCTACCAGTGTGGTGGAGAGATGAGGGAAGACTCTGTGGTCACCTGAGGTCAGAAAAAAGATGTGTGGTGCCTGTCGTCCCAGCACTTGGAAGGTAGAAGCAGAAGATTCAGGAGTTCTTAAGGTTGCTCTCAGCCACATAGTGAGTTTGAGCCTGGGCTACATGAGACGAGAGAGAGAGAGAGAGAGAGAGAGAGAGAGAGAGAGAGAGAGAAAGGGGTCGGGGGGCTAGAGGGATGGTTCAGTGGTTAAGAGCACTGGCTGCTCTTGCAGAGGAGCCAGGTTCAATTCCCAGCCCCCACATGGTGGCTAACAACTTTCTGTAACTCCAGTTCCAGGGGATCTAACTCCCTCTTCTTTTTTTGTTTTTGTTTTGAGACAGGGTCTCCCTATAGCCCCAGCTGACCTGGAACTTACTATGTAAACCAGGCTAGCCTTGAACTCACAGAGATCCTTCTGCCTCTGCCTCTGGAGTGCTGGGATTAAAGGTGTATGCCACCACACCCAGCTCCAAGTTCCTCTTTTGACCTCCGAGGGCATTGCATAACACTGGTGCACTTACCTACACGCAGGCAAAACACTCATACACATAAAATTAAAAATAATATGTATTTTTAAAAGAGAGAGAGAGATGAAGGAAGGACAAGAAAGGAAGGTGAGAGAAAAAGAGAAAGAAGGCTTCCGTGTCCACAACACATATTTCTGTCTCAAGTTTATAAGATGATTCAAATAGTAGGTAATTAATTTAAACAAGTCCCTGAGTCCTAAGTCTGTCATGACTTCTTTCTGCTCATGACTTGATTTCACTAAACCCCTTGCACATCCATACCCTTAGCAGGTCTTATTTTCCATTATAGTTTGGGTTAATCACATGTGGCTGTCCAGGGCTAACTCCCACCATTGTAGTCTTCTGAAATGTCACAGCAATGGTGATGGCAAGAGCCAGACTTACCTGGAATCCAGGAAGATGAGCTTCAGGTCGAGGCTGGCTCTGAACATGAACATGTTGCTGTGCAGTTTGATCTCTGTGATGGCACTGGGTGGCAGCGACTGCCCCACAGCCACCAGCCCCACAATCTGGTAACAGGAGTCGTACAGGGACATGTCCAGCATATACTGCCTGATCTTCAAGTAGCCACTGCAGTGGATGACCTGGGAAGGCAGAGTGCAGGCTCAGTGGCCACTGTGCTCCTGGCTCAGTTCTTTTTTTAAGTGCTAGAATAGTCTCCAGCCCAGTCTCTACAGAGCTGCACAGTCAGCATCCTGATAGAGACCTGTGCCCCCTTGGCAGGAAGGAACTCGCCTCTACCTTAGGAAACAATGTCATGAGGAAACACAATGTTTTCTTGTCCACCTAAATGTGCATGAGGAACTTCACAGATCAGAGTGTCATGCATGATGGACTTTGGCATAATGAACTCACTGCCAAGTTGTGACTCAGAACGCAGCAAAAGCTGGAGACCTAGTTCTCCCATTATGCTCATGTCAATAGTTAAATGCTTTCCAGCTTCCAACAGGATTAACTTGACATTTGTATCACCTGATAACTCTGTTGCTCCAGTAAAAGAATTCTTTTGGAAAAAAAATTTATTTTTAATGTTTTGGCTGGGAACATTAAAAGGTACTGGGGATCTGAACTCAGGTCCTTGTGCTTGTGTGGCAAGCACTTTACCAAATGAGCCATCTCCCAGTGTAATGGGTTTGACTGTTTAATTAGTTTATTTATAATTCAAGTTTTGGTAAACAATAAGCAGAGTATCTAGTCTACTCTGGAAGAAGATTCCTTCCAGTACTTAGAACCAAAGGCCATAACGAGAGAATTACAATGTCCTGACCAAGCAGAGGCACCTGAGCCCTAAACCTCATGTAGGAGCATGTTTACCATTTAAACACTGTCAAATCCTGGATCCTTAGCCTCAAATTCAAAATTCATCCCCCCTGCCCCCCATTTGCCTCTGTGCCAGGTCTTATGTAGCCTAGGCTAGCCTTAAATTTACAATGTAGCTGAAGATGATCTTGAATTATTGATTCTCCTACCTCCACCTCCCAAGTGCTGGGTTACAAGTGTGCACCACTTGTTTGTGCAGTGTAGGGGATGGGACCCAGGACCTAGTGTGTGCCAGGCAAGCACTCTACCAATTGAGCTACATCCCAGCCTACCCAAAATCCCTTTTGGAAAATTTTTTCTACAGAATTCAGATTACGTTTATAGTTTTTAGAGTTGGAACAAATCTTAAAATCCTTTTAGTCTATTTTCCCACTTCCCTAAGGAGGAAACCAAGAACAAGATGGGTAGTTGATGTTATTCTGCTTAGGATTAGACAGTTGAACAGAAATGACTAAAGACCCAGGCCTCTCAGGAGTATCAGTTAGGAATGGGTAGAGCTAAGGGCTCCCCACTTTGGCTCAAAGAGGCTTAGCGACTGGGACAAATCAGCAGAAGAAGTGTGTCCCCCCCAAAACTATAAAAACAGAGTAGGGGTGGAGTTCAGTGGTAGAGCATTTGCTTGGCAGGTCCTAAATTTAATCCCAGCACTGAAAAAAAATATAATAAAAGTGAAGAGTGAGATTAAGGTCAAAGTCTAGGAAGAATTCAAAGTAGGGTTGGAAGGAGACAGCTGAAGAGGGGCTTGTGGGGGCAGAAGACCCTGGTCTGAGGGCCATTCCAGCCAAAGGCTCAAAGGTGTCAAAGTGCCCCTCCCCCCACTTTCCTTTCTCCTTTTTCAAGGGGCAAATACAAAGGGACACTGGCTGCCTGTAGCTCCAGAGTGACAGAAGTGACCCCTCTCCTCCAAGCTGGGAGGAACAGACTGTGAGGCTCCTGGGGAGAGAGGGAGGAGCTCAACAACAGGCCAAAGGTGAAGGGGCTGCAGGGATCCCTACAGATTGTCCCCAGCCTACCCATCTAGAAGTGTCTAACACTGAGGCGCAGCACTGCCAGATGGACATCTAGGTGACCTGCTCCCAGATTCTGGAATTAACTAGAGCAAACAGCCATATCTGAAAGAGTTCAGCCACCAGCGAGGGGCTAGGCTGGGCTAGGAAGTGACGGCCTGGCCCGTCACTACTTCTTGTGAGCTCCCACCCTCGAGTATATAATAAGGCCAGAATGACCGATTGGATGTGGTGCTACAGGTGAAAGCACTACTTGGCACCTGGGAAGGGCTGTCATTACTGTGATGAGCACCACCAGGGGCACTGGCATTACTGGAACATTCCATGGGTAAGAACATCTCTGTGCAGCAATTATCAATGCTGCCTGGGTATCCTGTCTGGGAATGTGGGTGGATGCTAGGGGCAGCTGTTCCAAGGGAACTGACCCATGGCATGTAAAGTGGAACTCACAGGCACAGAGACAAAAGTCTATCCTAAGCCACTCCAATCCTGGTCTTAAATGATGAAATCCAGCCTAGCCTGGAACATCCGTGTAAAGTTCCAGCTCTGTGGGCTCAGAAGCCATCCAGAGCCTGTTGCTTAAGACTTCTGCCCTGGCGGGAGCGACATAATAAATTTCCAAACCTTTTCTTTTGAATATTGCCTCAGGTGTGACACAGAATGTAAAATGCACAGTCAAGACCCCGCCAGTCTCTCCTGTCCCCACCAGGGGCCGGCTGTACCTTGTATCCGCTGCACGTCAGGCCTGCATTTCTTTTTGCCAAGACGCACTTCATTCGAAGAAAGAAGGACCTCTCTATCTCGTACTCTGAAAGAAGGGGCAAGGCTAAGGTTAGATGGCCATGCTGCCCTGCCCACTTCACCTCCCCCAAATGGCACTGGCAAGTTCCCAGAGGCTACCTCATCTATGCCCAGCCCCAGCCCAGAAAGCTTCTGCCAGTAGCCAAGGTCTGGGTGGGGAGGGCAGAAAACATGCCCATTCTGCTATGGCTTCCAAGACTCTGAAGAAAAGTAACCCAAAGCACGATGACAGCAAGAGCCTTGGAGTCAAGGGATGAGCTTGGCAGAGTACCACCTGCCCCTGTCCCCTCCTGGAAGCCACAGGGCATCTGGGTAGCAGGAAAATCACCTGGACCAGCGCTGAGGCAGAAAGACCTCAGTGCCTGAGCTTCAAGGTAGTAGATACCAAATGCCAATCACAACATAGCCCATCTCTGACAGGGAGCCAGGCACCCTTACCTGCTGAGCCATCTTACTGGCCCTTTTCTTTCATTCTTTTTTTAACCGTCACATACAAACCTCTGGCCTTGCATGTACATATGAACCCCCTAATGAAGTGTCCCCTGCTTTAAGGAATACTGGTGCTCTGAGGCGCAAATAGAGAAGTATCCACACTTCCAGGTGTGGAGAGATCACACACCTTACAGAAACAGCCATTTGGTGGAAGTTAATCACGGATCTCTGAAGAAGCATCACCACTAGGAATGACAGCAGGGGCTTCCACCCTTCCCAAGGGCACTGCTCTAAGAAAGTCAGGGAATGGACTCAAAGGCCCCTTTCAGTCCCCCCGTTGGAGGTCTGCCAGGTTTTACCCCCAATTCCTCCTGCAACTGGGCTCTGCAGGCTTACGGCTTTCCTCTGACATGGCTGCCTGTCTGAACCACACAGATGAACACTGAGTTACGGGAGCTCAGATTGTCACTGTTTCAATTTTTTTGTGTGGATGAGAGCTTTGCCTGCATGTATGTAAGTATACCACATGTATGCAGTGCCTGAAGAGACCAGAAGAGGGAGTCAGAGCCCCCAGAACCGGAGTTACAGATTGTTGTGAGCCACCATGTGGGTGCTAGGAACCAAACCAGGACCTCTTAACTGCTGAGTCATCTCTCCCACCCCACGAGGGTTTGAAAAGGATTTCTAGTTATTTTCTAGTCTGGGGAAGAACTCGTGTTACACATATTTACCATAAAATAGCAAGGGTCACTTCAAACAGAAAATTAGCTCTGCGCTGAGAAGGGAGGTAGAACATCAAGAACATAGGAACCTTGAACGCTGCACCTCTCTCAAATGGCATCGAAATGAGTCAGCTATGTGACCCCAACACCCCCAGCCATTATCACGCCTTCCTTTGTACTATCCACACTTTGGGCCTGAATCCAAGAGACACGGAGACAAAAGGGTCTCATGAGATTCCCGGGCACAGTTACTGTCATTTTGTAAATACTTTTTCAGAGGTTATGGCATAGGGAGGATGAAAAGCACCAGGATGGAGAGAGGGCCAGCCCAAGGATGTAAGCACAGATCATAGCTCCAGCTCAGCGCCTCCATTCCATCTCAGAAGCCAGCATGCCAGACTCTTTCCTTCAAGAGGAGTCATCAGACTCTTGACTCTTTCTGGAGCTAGAAAGCCAAGGGCTCAGAACTGCGTATTGCATAAGCAAGCACTTCCAGAGTTCCTAGCTTTCCCACAAGGGAGCTGTAAGAATGGGACTCTGGCTAGTCAGACCATCCTCATCATTGTGTGTGTGGGGGGGGGTGCGCGCACACACATGTACATACACGTAGAGGGCAGAGGACAATCTCAGCTGTCATTCCTCAGGTACACACACCCTGTTTTGTGAGACAGGGTCTTTCACTGACCTGAATCATCCTGTTTCCACTACTACAAGTTTATGCCACCATATCCAACAATTTAAGATATTTTTTTATTTTTATTTTGTATGTATGAGTATTTTGCCTGTATGTATGTAAGTGCACCTGTGTCATGAAATGCCCATGAAGGTCAGAAGAGGGTCAGATTCCCCTGGAACTGGAGTTAGGGATGGTTATTAGCCAGTGTGTGGATGCTGGGAACTGAACCCGAGTCTGTTTTAGATATGGGTTTGGGGATTGAATTTGGATCCTCACACAAGCACTTTACTGGCTCAGCCATCTTCTTGGCTCCCATTCTTTTTCTTTTTTTATGTGTATGAATGTGTTGCCTGTATGTATACAAGTGCACCTGTGTCATGCAATGCCCACGGAGGTCAGAGGAGAGCGTCACATCCCCCAGAACTGTAGTTTAGGATGGTTATTAGCAGCCATGTGGGTTCTAGGAATCCAACCCAGGTCCTCTGCAAGAGCAGCCAGTGCTCTTAACCCCTGAACCATCTCTCCAGCCCCTTCGGCTCCCATTCTTTAACTATTAACATTTATTTTGGATTTTCTTCTAGTGAAGAATTTTTGTCAAGCTGGGAACTGTAGCCCCAGGCACACAGGAGACCCACTAGTCAATATGTCTGCTGGTCTCTGCAGGGTGTCAGAGGGAGTTGAAAGTCGGAGCTTCTGGAAGAAACTGTGTATTTTCCTAACACTCATCATGGTTGTAATTTAAGGAGACATGTATGCTATGCCCAGGGGTTCTGAACACTTCTGTGCCATGGTGTAAAACCTAAATCCCTGCTCAGAGTACTGCTAAATGCATAAAACAGATACAAAGGAACGAACTGTATTGGAGAAGAATTGGCAAAACATTTAAATGCAGTGTTATGAATATAAATATCTTCCTGTCTAGTATATTCGGTGGAGATTCATTAGTGGGCTTCATAACTCCCGAAAACTCTGAAGCCATCACTGCATAAGTGATGTATGTAAATATCTGCAACAACCATAATGTGATGGGAAAATGTCTACAATGTCTGTGGTTAGAAAAGCCATAGTTCTAATGATCCCAGCATGGTTTATAGCCTACAATCACATGTAAACAGCACGCTAAATTTCACCTAAAGGAAATACGGGTGTAATTTTCCGCCATGAAATTTCACATTCTCCCATCTCTAGATCTGTCCTCGGAAGCAGCAGTTCAGGCCTAGACCCATGACGGGCAGCTCTGGAATTTTAAGCCAGGAGCACTTGAGGAGAAGAGCCTGTGACCCATTGCTAAACAGCCTCGGGCACATAATAGGAGTTCAATAATTGTCCGTTGAAAACACAGAGGCGAGGTGAACTGGCGGTGTAGCTCAGTGGCAGAGCAGGCAGCAGCATGCACAAAATCCTGGGTTCCATCCCCAGCACTGTAAGCAAGCAAGCAAGCAAGAAACACAGAGGTATGAGTGTATAGTCGCTCTGGGTGGGTGCTGGTGCTTGCCTGACCCAATCAGCAGGTGTGGGAATCAAAATACTTTGGTCACAGTCAAGAGCATGACCTTGTTTCATCAGTGTGGAGGAAATACCTTGGAGTAGGTGATGGTGGAGAGGGGGATGAGCCGTGAGGACTGCAGTCATCTCGTCATGGTCAGAAGGATGGATGTACTCATAGATACTGTTGCCTGTGAGCTCTACCTGCCAAGGAATGGAAGGGTCAGAGATGTCATAGGTTTCCCGAGGTCAGCTCCAGGGGCACGGGGTCAGGTGTGTCCCAGGTTCACACCCAGACAGGAACAGGACTTTAGTCTCTCCTTGCAGCTCAGACCTTGGCCCAAAGCAAAAGTGGAAGCAAGCTGCTGTTTGCAGAGCTCCGAACTGTGGCCTGGAGACCAGCTACCTTCAGCCTGCTGCACCCCTTCAAGAGCCAGGTCCGTCCACACAGAGGCTGACCAGTTGGGAACTGTGGAGGTCTCCCATGCCACTCTGACAAAGGCCCCTTCTGTGTCAGCACCGGACCATGCCCCGGGCACTGCCGGGGCTCCCTCACATTGCCAGAAATGCATCTCTGACCTTCTTGGTCTGAGCTGACTGTGCTTATTCTACAGTCCCACCCAGGGCATGGCTGGGTCCCTCTGCGTGACTTGCGATCTGGATCTGGGAGGGCGTAGACCACATGAAGTAGTAGTTATTCCCCAGGGTTCCACTTTACCATCCTCACACCACCTACCATGGCAGGCCTCTAGGCCACATCCATGCCAGACACGACATTGCTTTTTGGGAATGAGAAGCCCCAGGAAACAAGCTAGGATTTTTTTAAATGTGTCTTAGTGTATTGCCAGCATATGTGTAAGTGCACCTGTGTTGTGCAATGCCCATAGAATAGGCTGTCAAATTCCCTGAAACTAGAGCTTCAGACAGTTGTTAGCCACCAAGTGGGTGCTGGGAATCGAACCTGGGTCCTCTGCAAGAGCAGTTGGTGCTCTTAACCACTGAGCTATCTCTCCAGCCCTCCCATCATTATTTTTCTATGAGATACAATGCCCACAGAGGTCAGAAGACAGCATCAGATCCCCTGGAACTGGAGTTAGAATGGTTGTTAGCCACCAAGTGGGTGCTGGGAATCGAACCTGGGTCCTCTGCAAGAGCAGTTGGTGCTCTTAACCACTGAGCTATCTCTCCAGCCCCCCATGTTAGGATTTTAATGCAGAGGACCCTGGCAGTCCAATTCTGACCTTGAGAACCTTTGCTTGTTCTCTACCATGACAGGGCAAGCCTCTGGCTTCTTCGAGAACCCAAGACCTCAGTCCCTTACCCACATTAAAATGGGCCCAGAATGTTCCAGAAACATACTCTACCACGAGGGCAGCCTCCTTGCAGTGATGGGTATATCCCATTTTTAGAACTACAATCAGAAGAGCTGAGGGTGATCACAAACAGTGAGTCAGTATACCCAGTATTCAGGGGCGCTCTGGGGCAGTGGTAGGGACTCCACCACTGCCACTGGGAACCCCAGAACCCAGTCAATGTAGGGAAGAAACTCAAAGATACCAAAAAGGTGCCCTTGGGTGGCAGGAACCTTGGATGGGTCCCAAGACTTCTTTCTCAGCCCTGTCCAGGTAGAGGGTAGCCCAAGCCAGCACAGGAAGCTGTGGCAGGTCTTGTCCCTGGCCTTGGAAACTTCAAGTGGGTCTTTTCCCTAGCCTTGGAAACTTTGAGTGGGTCTTGTCCCTAGCCTTGGAAACTTTGAGTGGCACTGGAGGGTGATGGAGAGCTTGTTGCTGTGGCTCCAGGATTATCTGTTTAGGGGTGGCCCTGACTGCACCACCTCAGGTAGCAGCACAGCTCCAGTAAGGTGGTTTTATGAACACTCTGCTGTCCCAGAACCACAGCTCCAAGTGAGCATCCCACCCTCAGCTCTTTCCAAGGAGCCATGGTGAGTTGAAGGCTTCACTCCACCAGCTCCAGAGAGCACCTTCAATTCGTCAAGATGTAACAGTTCCCTTTTTTTCAACATAAATTAAGTTTCTAAGTATTCTTGTCCCCCAAATCCACAATTTTAGTTTCTGAGTTATTCACAAAATGCCTCTTTCCAATCTTATGCAAACAGAGCAGGGGGAAAATCCAAGCACAGAACGCCTCTCTACCACCTGCTAACCCCCACCTCCCAAACCTGGGGTTTCACAACTGACCTCAATGGAGATCTGCCTAAATGAAAAGATAGCACATAATTAAAATTTTTTGAAATTACAATTATTTATATATTTGTGGGGGTAGGGTATGTGTACCACAGTGCACACATGGACAACTTGTGAGAATTGATTCTCTCTCTCTGTCATCTGGGTTCTGGGGATTGAACTTCTCTAAGGACTGAGGTTGTCAGGCTTGGAAGCAAGTGCCTTTATCCACTGAGCCACCTCCCTGGCCCAGTGATTTCATTTTTAAAAAGAAAGAAAAATGAAGTATTTTTCTTGCAAATTATTCCTGTTAATCCCTGAAAGGCTTAAATAAACCCGCAGTGTTGAAGCCAACCATTTGAGATGGGAGAGCTACCTTCATCCTTCTTTCCTTTCTTTCATTTTTTTATTTCAGCAGTTGATTTTTTTTTTTTTTTAAGAAAACACAAAACAAATCAAGAGAAAGGGGCGGGGAGAGAGAATGAGCATTCAAGGTTTGTTGGAAGCTCCTTTTGAGAAAAATGTACATAACTGCTGTCTTAGCAGACAAACTCCTTTGGGGACTCAGAAACATTTGCATCTCTGCTGATGAGGGAATAGACAGGTTTAATCTCTAAATTGCTTCATCTGATTTCAGAGTGTCTGTTCTCATCACTGGCTGGAGTGCGGGGAGAGCAAAGACACCTGGATGGAGAGCTTGGTTTTCTTTTTTTAAATATTTTATTTCTTTTCATTTTATGTATAAAGTGTGTTGCCTGCATGTATGTAAGTGCACCCATGTCGAGCAATACCCGTGGAGGTCAGAAGAGAGCATCAGATTTCTCTAGAACTGGAATTACAGATGGTTGTCAGCCACCATGTGGGTGCTGGGATTCAAACCCAGAGCCTCTGCAAGAACAGTCAGTGCTCTTAATCACTGAGCCATCGCTCCAGCCCGAGAGCTTGGTTTTTCTGAGCTCTCAGGTTCATTATACAACTCTGTGGCTGTCTTCAAATGGCAGAAATGTTTTCACAGAACAAAATTTAGAGTGATAACAGTGCTGACCTTAGCTTAAAATTATGACTAAGATGGTGTTTCCTGTATTTACATATCTATTCATGCTTTTGAATGCTGGAAGAAATGTGACAATCTCACCCCAATGCCTGAAATATAGAGAGATGATAGATAAATAGATAATTGATAGATAGATAGATAAATGATGATAGATGATAGATAGATAGATTGATTGATAGATAATAATTTGTCACTTTAAAATTCCCCAGGACTCATTTCTCAGCCTTATTAAAACAAAACTTCAATGTGATGTTTTGGTATTTGTAAAATCCTGCTAACTACAAAATGAAAGGCTTTCCTAAGAGCTTTTTTATGTTTTTCGCAATAGCTTTTATCCTGCCAAGAAAGCTGCAATGGTCAACACAACAGTAGAAAGATAGACTCTGTGTGGAAGGGCAGGGTCGCTTGGCCCCAGGAAAATGCACATGACTGTTCGTTGTGGCAGACTGAGCATTTTAAAATAAGATGGTTTGGGTTTCAGGGTTCAAGTTATGTCAACAAACATAAAACACTGTACTTTATTTCTAAAGCGAAAGGGTTCTGCCTCATGCCTCTGAATGGCGCGGTTGCTATTTTTTATGGCTGTGTTTCTGGTATCCATCTCAAATATTGCATTTTGCTTTATGCATCTCATAAACAGCGATTTCACATATATCTACATTTCTTTGAAAATGTATATTAGTTACCTAGATATTATATAACACAACTTCATTACAGAGATTTGGACCATATGGATGCTTAAAATGTATGTATGACTTTATTTTTCCCTCCTCAAATATAAGTAAGATGATTGTATTAAAGAAACAAAGGGGAGAGGAAAGAAGGAAGACTAAACCCTTTAATATATGCTCATGGATGACAGTGTTTTCCTAAATAGTCATCCAAACATATGTAAATGTGCCTATGCATTTCATGTGTGAGCACAAACACTGAATAGAAATTTTAAAGCCAGAGTCTCTGTTTCCCAACACGTGGTGTCTGGGATGAGAAGACAACCTATACTTTGTGGTTGTTTCTGTCATTTTTTAATACCAAAGTTTGACAGCAATGAGCATACTTGCTCATGAATTTAAAAGCAAAATAAATGAATAAATGCTGCTACAGGAAGTAGATTTCTTATTCCAACACTTTTTAGTGTAATAAAAGGCTTTCAATGAAGCTGTGTTTATACACATAAAAGATGGGTTTTATATCCTCTAATAGATCATTGTGATTGTTCCAAATAAAACAGAGCACACCCCTTTGCTGTGAACTTTCACACAACCATGGCTCACAGGGCTTACATCCCTAAGGCTCTCTGCTACTGAGTTTAACCTTGACTCCACGGGAGCCTCACTTAAGAAGACAATGTCACTGAGTGTAAGTGACAGTTCTTGGAACACAGAACTGCACCATGTAACTGTGAACTATGACTCTGGTTGTTATCAGAAACATTTGAAGGGCTACTTTTCAACACTTACCTGATAGAATCTTACCAGCAGGTCTTTTATTTTTCTGTTTTGGTAATCAAACCCAATGCCTCATGCCACATGCCTACCACTGAGTTATACCTCCAGCTCCAACACTTTTTTTCTATGGTCATTTTGTTTTCTAAGAACCATCTTTAAATAAATTTAATAGTGTTCATATTTGCCGTATTGGCCTGACTTTTTACTACTAATAAAAATAATCTAAAAGATGCAAAGCATATTTTAAAAGAGTAGTTGTTTGGGTATCCTATTCAGTACTTTATTTTACTATTTAAGTAGACAGAAAAAAATACACATTGCAATTCTCCCCAGATTCCCTTCTATGGCATTAATCATGAACAGGAGGCAGGCTTGAGGGAAAGGTTTGCTGTTGCTTATTTAAATTGTTCACCACGAATGTCCCCCAGACACTGACATGGGGCTCATAACAGCCTTGCTGTGATTTTAGAGCTGCAGTTCACAGTCTCACTTGGGAATCAGGAAGAAATCAGTTGTTCTACACAGTCACTTTAACTTCACTGTATTTCAATAGTTGTTTCTTCAGGGGACACAGGGTCAAGAGGTATCTCTACAGTTTTCTTAGAAAATGGTAGCCTTTCAAGCCGATGATACCGAGTTTTATTTCTGTACAAGATCAAAGGGAAACATAATACGGGATTTGTGAGGCTGCATCGCTTTCCCTCTGCAGAGTTAATCAGGAGCAGAATGCAGACCTGTCACCTAGCCAATGTTTTGGTCATTCTTAATTAGTGTGTTCAGAGTCAATCTATCCGATTCCCCACATTAAAAAGAAGGAGGAGGAGGAGGAGGAGGAGCAGGAGGAGGAGGGGAAGGTGGAAAGAAAGAAAGAAAGAAAGAAAGAAAGAAAGAAAGAAAGAAAGAAAGAAAGAAAGAAAAAAGAAAAATGACAGGGAGATGCTGGATGGTGAAATGAATCACCAATGGGAAGAAGTGGATGTCCTAGGATGTCCCCAGGACCGAGGCTGTGCCAGCACATTCCAAATGACTGGGCAGTCCTAACAGGTACCTGCCAAAGGGCTCTAAGTACACCCGGGTTCTAATGAGATTGCTTATAAATTACATGACAGCTATTTGATCTTCTCTTCAGTCATAGTCTTGAGAGAGGGGCAGAGCAAGTATTATTATTTAAATTATGGTTCCAGGGCATTACTGCCTTCTCTAACCAGACAATGAAAACCTGAGTTCCCTTTTTGCTTTGACTGCTAGAGAGCTCAGATCTACGTTTACTATTCAATAATAGTGCTTCTACCTATTTTGAAAGATTTTTGTCATGTTTGTGACATTATTGTAAGACTATCAATGATTTTATAAATTTCAAATGAAATTGGTAAATTATCCAATCTAGGTTGATTGACTACAGTCTGAAAAAACAAAAACAAGAACAGTCTGAGTGCAACTAAAGGGCCCTGACTAATTCTAAATAGGGGAAGGTAGAAATCCAGAGGATGTAACCACAGAAAAATGAACGTTTCTCTGCCTCCCTCCCTCCCTGAAATAAAAAAAGGGGAAGGTAGAAATCAAGAGGATGTAACCACAAAAAAATCATCGTCTCCCTGCCTCCCTCCCTCCCTGCCTCCCTCCCTCCCTCCCTTCCTTCCTTCCTTCCTTCCTTCCTTCCTTCCTTCCTCCTCTTCCATCCATTCCGTATTAAGCATTGAACCCAAGGTCTTGTTGCAGGCTATATACTATAGCACTGAGCTGTTGTTCCAGTCCCAAAGACTAATTAATTTCATGTGGTCAGTCTTACAAGTACATTAATCCCATGAGTCATGTAGGTACAAGTAAACTGTATTCACAAGAGGGATGGATTAAAAAAAAAAAAAAAAAAAAAAAAAAAAAAAAAAAAAGGAAAGAAAAGAAAACAGAAAAAGAAAGGACAAAAGGAATTTTTGGCTAATTATAATGTGAAATTCATTTACTTTGTATGAATAATGAAGAGGCATGGATATCTACTTGGACAAGAAGGGTATCCTGACCCTGGAAGATGAGGTTAAATACCAGTGACAATTGTTTTAAAAATGTGTTGCCTGGGGGCTGGAGAGATGGGTCAGCGGTTAAGAACACTGACTGTCCTTGCAGAAGACCCGGGTTCGAATCCCAGCACCCACATGGCAGCTAACAACTGTCCGTAACTCCAGTCCCAGGGGATCTGACAGCCTCTTCTGACCTCCGTGGGCATTGCACGACATGGGTGCACTTACCTACATGCAGGCAATACACGTGTACACATAAAATAAAAAAGATAAATGAAATTTTAAAAATGTGTTGCCTGAAAAAGTAAAGGAATGTACACATGTAGATATCCAAATTTGGTAATCTTGCCTCTCAATGAGAAAATTCAAGCCGTATTATTGAGCATGTTTCATTTTGGCTTAGCTACAAGAGGACGCTGCCAGGACAAGATCCTCCTGTGCCTCTCAGAGCCCATTTTCTGAGTTGATCATTAAATCTAGTGCGCCTTTCATTGAATGAAAAGTCACACTGATAGCTCAGAATGTAGGGAAGCATTCAGTCCCCACATGTTTAAAAGCTGTGACTTTCCAAACTGCCTTCTAAATGTTTATATTTCTACTTATAGACAAAGGCTACTCTCAGTCTTGATTAGAGAAGCCCTTCTTTCTAGGTAATGCAGAGACTCTGGGTGCTAAGAGGAAGCCTTTCTTTCCAGTGCATGGTGATGAATGCAGAGACTCAGAGCGCTAGGAGGAAGTGGTGTTTGGCTGCTCAGCCCGAGCAAATCCCTTCTAAGTCTCAGGGAACAGTGCAGAAGAGGGGAGTGGGAAAAAATGTAAGAGCTAGAAGGCAGGGACAAAGGCTTTGAAACTGCATCTCCTGGACAAGATACAACAAATTGCAATCGCAAACTCACACCAGCTGCGGTCGCCTGGTATACATAAAATGCTGTGCCACTGTGTCAACAGGCAGGGGTGTAGGAATGGGGGGACGGGCTTGGTGGTCCTACCCCTCACTGATGAGCTATTGGCTACTGATTGTTTCTGGAACTGGGGAGTTGTTGCCTTCAGTTGTCTATTCACTGGTGAGCCCACTAGGCTCCAATGAATAGCTCCAAAGAGACACTCACATAGAAAGCTCTGGTTAAACTTGGTGGATCACAAAACAAAAAGACAGGAATTTGGGAAAGGGACTTGGGGGTTGATGATAGTGATGTGAGGGAGATAAGAGAGCCATAGAGCTTAGGGTAATCAGAATGCATTTTATATATATATATATGAAATTGTCAAAGAACAAATGTAGTTTTTTTTTTTAAAGTGATTTTTATCACCAGGAACCATGCTCCAGAAGTCAGACATAAGAATGGGAAAGGTCAGTGAGCCTTCTCCCTGGCCAGATGTGCCAGAAGCCCTCTACCAAACTCTCTGGGGATAGACAAACTGAGTCCACCTCTTTCCTCTAAGGAATGGTATTACTGAAATGTTCTAAAGAAATCAGGACCTTACAAAACAGTAGTGAATCAAGTTTTATGAGTTTCTATCACAAGCATATAAAATGCTTTACTGAAACAACCATTGAACTGGAAAAACTCAGGAAAAATGATGCTGAATTCCCTGGGAACACTCCTGAATCCAGCCCTTCTCTTGAACTCTCCCCAGAGCACAGGCTGCACAAAACCGATGCTGGATGACAGCGTACAAAGCCCATGCTGGACAGCTTGTCCCTCTCTAGGCAGCAATGCCTGGTGCCACGTGCAGACCAGCAGCGGTCAGAGGGTCCCCCTTGGGGAAGCTCTTTTCTATGCCAATCTCACATTACTAGGTAAACAGACAGTTTAGGACATCTGACAGACTCTCAGAACAAAACTAATCACAGCTGGCACAAAGGGAAAAGACAGTAAAAAGACAGTAAAAAGTAAAAAGACAAACCCCTGTGCAATACCCCAAGGAGGGCATTTTACAATTATCGATTATGTTCACACACAAAAGCAGACCGTTAAACAGACTCATTTTCAGGTTGGGCAAAGTGATCATGATTCATTAATATTTTGATGATACATAAAATCAGTTAATACCTACCTGGGACAAGCCTAAGTGAACAGAAGCTGTCTCGGATATATACATGATTTTGCCATCAGATGCTACCACAAAAACAAATCCGTCCAAGGTCTGTAAAAGAGAAAGTGTCAGAGTAAGAGATGACAGTTCGACATACTATCACAGAGTTGGAGGAGATGTATGAAACATGGTGGGCTAGGCTGGGGGAAGATGTAGCTCATGAAATAAACATGATGGGATGGGCTGGGGAAAGGTGGTAGAAGGTTTGCCTAGCATGTGTGAGGCTCTGGGGTAAGTACACACACACACACACACACACACACACACACACACACACACACACATTTTTGAATGAAGGAGAAAAAAGAGCCCAGGGCTATAAGGGCTGCAGGTAACAATACTCAAGGCTTAATTCCCAAGCCAGGCTCTCAAATGCTTTTAAAGCACTTTAAAAACAGTCTTGCACCCACCCTACAAAATCATACAAAGTATTTGAGAATCCTATCCTGCCCAATTTGAACGTAATAGCTTTTATTGTTTGAGCTTATTTTAGCACTTAGTACAAATCCGGTGTTCTACGGTTCTTAAGGGAGCATCTACCACCCTATAGGCCTTTTAATGTTGGAATTGGCAGTCATTTATACCACGAGGACAGACACTTTATTTGCCACAGTTTTCTAGTTACCCTAAGTACCATTTGAATAATAAATTCTTACCATTGCCAGAAAATAAAACAAAATAATTATTTTACCAGACTGTGTCTACAGAATTAAGTATTTAGACTTTGAAAGAGATCAAATAGCCTTTGCCAGAGTCAAAGAGGAAAAAAAAATGACTTCTGAAAAATTAAAATGACTCCAACGAAATTCTGATTTTTGTCTAAGTTGGCTAAGCTTCCAAAAATAAATTATAAGAGGTGATTCAGACAAGTAAAAAGGTAATGACGGTTGCGTGGTTGTGTCTAGAATTAAAAGACTAAATAATTTTTGAAAAGAAGAAACTTTTATTTACTTGTTCATATTTTAAGATCAGGTACAAAAAGTAATAAAGGTGAGAGCCTGTGCGACTCGGAATGGCACACCAATAAAAATATTCCGGATTAATTTCTGGCTACAAATTCTTTTACAGCATGTAATTGAAACCAGATTACCATTGGGTTTCTTCAAAATACCCTGTTGAAGGGGAGGGGATAAAAGAATGAAGTAGAAATAAAATTTGAACGAGATACGCTTACAGTCTCCGTATCCAAGTTTACTACAAAAATTCTTCACCTCCTAAACTGTCATTACCTTCAATACACTAGGGGTGAAATCACCCTTCTTTTATTGTTCGAGTTTAACTCAACTACTTAGTAGTTTTGAAACTAAACCAGTGACGCTTCACATACAAAAAACAAAAATCGAGCTCTAACTTTATGACTTGAATGTTTAACTCCGAAATCATTCAAGAGATACCCTTAACCAAATGGCTCCCTCAAAATATCTAGGAGAACGAGAACGTTAAAAATAATAATAATAAAAGGATCATAGTTAAATTCTGAAAGTTGCCCCCCCCCATCATGTCTTTAATGGGAAATGTGGAGGGTAACCATCGCCACGCAGGAGTTAATTAAACGCACTGGAGACGTCTGGGTGTGTTGACTTTACCCACCAGGTTTCCACTGAGGAGCCTCAGCGCTTAGCTGTTTTTGATGACAGTGTCTGGTGTTAGTGTCGCTCTTGATAACTCGGGAATATGAAACACGCAAACAGCCGCGGGTGGCGGTAAGTGGCGGTAAGGGAGCTGACAGCAGGTCCCGCGCCCCACCTCGCGGCCTTCATCTCCAGGGATTCCAAATATTCCCCCATTCTTCTCTTACTGGAACGTCTAGGCATTTGGGGCAAACGTTCTGAAAAGATCTGGGATTTTTTGTTGTTGTTGTTTTAAATTTGTTTGTTTTGTTTTTCATAACGCAGAGCTCGCTGCTGACTCTCCCACCTGAGTCGCAAAGGACTTCAGCTAACATTTTTCCCCTTTTAAAAGAAAATACAAAGTAGAGGAAGGAAATGCAGAATAGCTCTCGGTGGGCATTTTCCCATGGCAAAGGCAAAAGTGAGGCCATGAATCACGTCCTTGACTCTGTAAAGAGAGATGAGGCGGCGCTGTCCGCAGCTACCCCAGCCGCGAACCTGGGGCCGAGGTTGCTCTGCGCCAGTCGCAGCACCCGGGCACCCTCCTGGCCCTCGATGCCCAGCGGGGGGGAAAGCCGAGGTCCTGAGCAGGACGTCACTTTAGGGTTGGGGGAGCAAAATGCCCGACTCCACAAAGGCTCCAAGAACCAGCTGATCCCAGAATGCCCCAGATCTGGGTTCCTGGTGCAGGTCATAGAACTGGGTTAAGCCCGCTGCATTTCTTGAGGTGACTTCGTGGGTTTCTTGTAACCCTCATACCCTCAACTTCCTGCTCAGAATAAGTTGGAGAGCAGGGTGATGGGGAGTGGAGCGAGATGATGAAGACTCTGGCCAGTAAGAAAACCCCATCTGGGTGAGAGTCCACGCGCTCTCCATCAGCGCAACCTGCAAAGCTTGAGAGCCGGCGAGCCGGTCTCTCCTGCTGCAGTGCCCGCCCCGCGTCTGCCAGAGCGAAGTGAGAGTGGGGCGGACTCAGTCCGGTCTGGACGCCCTGTGCTCTGAGTCGTGGGTGGACTAAACCCCTGGGTGCTGGGGTCTGCAGGGACCCCCCCCCCCATGCAGCACTGGTGTCACCCCCCTGGCACGGTGGCTCTACCTGCAGGAGATGCGATCCGAGCTCCTTGGCGACGCTGTCCAGGGGGCCTGTCCTGCTCGGCTGTCCCCACGCGTCTCCTAAACCTGGAACAAGGGAATGAAACAATCCAGTAAACCGCAGCGCCCAGTAGAGCCCAGGGCTCCAGGCGAGGCGCGCGGAGGAGCTCAGAGCTCCGCGCACCGGGTTCTCGGCGCTCCAGTGTGTGTCTGTGTCTGGGGCTTCACCGATTCCCTTTCCCGGGGACTAAGAAGTCAAAGCCGGAGGAGAAACTTCCAGTCCCGGGCCCCTTGCTTGCGCACCGAGCCCACGCGGCCCACTGCTCCCGAGGGTCGCCTACCTCCTCATCGCCGTAATATCTGCAATGCCAGAGTAATCTAATCTGCTTTGAAACTGGCCAAAGGAGGCCGAAGGAGGATATCGATTTGACCCGCAAACACTCCGTCGAGGACCTCGTCTCGGTTTCCCTTCCCCCGCACCGCCGGGAACTCTGTCTTTTCCGAAGCCAGAGAGGCTCGGAGGCAAAGCCGACAAGGTCCCTTTCCGCCCGGTGTCCCTCGCTCTCCAGGCGCTCACAGGGTCTCCGGCAATCTGTCCTGCTGCTTCCAATCCAGAACTCGGGGTTCACTGGATGGGGAGGGAGGACAAACTCCTGGTTCAAAACAGCGGAGCTCGGATGAGCCACACACAGGTCGCCACTGGACTCTCCGAGGTCACTAGAAGGTGTGTGTTCTCACGTAATCCGGAGTCCCTCAGTACCCCTGTTTCTTAATGAGGTCCCTCTAGCTCTCACTGCGGTTTTTCACCACCACCACCCCCAGGAGAGAGAGAGAGAGAGAGAGAGAGAGAGAGAGAGAGAGAGAGAGAGAGAGATACTGCCCTTTGGAGTCTCCCTCTCCCGGCCCTCGGGCTGGCTCCAGTGACCCAGCAAACCTCAGGCTTCCCTGGGCACACTCGGGAGGAAGCCAGAAAGCTCACAGAGGTGGCTGAGCTAGGAAAGGGCTAGGAAAATGCTTAACCTTTTACCACAATGCTTCCCGCTGGGGCTCTCCAGTTAACCTGGCGACTCCCTCACCTCTGCCTTGCACAGGACAGGTGGCCACTTCGGCCTGCATGTTCTAACTTCCGCCAGCTCCCACACAGCCTTTATTCCTCGCACGACCTCTGTGGGGTGTACTGTGGACCCAGCAGACTCATCCTCAAGGGACCTTCAGGCCTGTGTACCCTAAGTTCACAGGCCAGGAGCCACCTGGCAAGGCCGGAAGCTCCCACCAGGTATCCTGTCCAGTGTCAGCAAATCCAGGGGCTGCAAAGTCTCTCAGTCTCTGAGGACTCACTCAGAGGGCATGTGGCTTCTGGATCTCCACCCCAGAAAATATAAAACCTACCCGACCTCCAGTACAGCCTTCCTAGAAACTATCTTGAAACTTAAAAAAAAAAAAGAGGGTGACCTTTCATTTCTGCCCCTGAGTTCAGGGAATTTGGGCTCACCCTGGTCTTCCCCAGAGGGAAGTGGCTAATCTCTACATATCCCCAAGGCTCCCCCCCCAACCCCAGTGTAACTCACGTCTGGTCCCTCTGCCTCTACTCTGTGAACCGGGTGTCTTTTTACCCCAGGAAGCATCCCTACACTGTTCCCCCATCACCAACTTCAGACTAGTTACTTCATTTTGATACTGAGCAGGAAGCTCACCCCTTCCTTTTAAACATTAGTGGGGGTTAAAAAAAAAAAAAAAGATGTAAGAGTCCCCAGGTCTCAGAGACGAACAAAGTTAGTAGACCCAGGAGATCTAATTTCTGACAAAAACAGCCATGCCTGGTGACTGTCCTCACCTAGTCTCTGGGACCTTCCTGGGTTTGGGTGGTTGTCTGGCCATGAAGCGGTCCTTGACCCTCAGTGCAAAGTGAGCTCCCACTCCCCCTGCCCCCCAACCACTTCTGACTTTCCCCAGTGTCTTGGGAGACTGGACAGTTTGGGAACAATCTCCAAACCAGACTCCTCTATCCAGTTCCCTCAAAAATCTTGTGGAAGGGCCTGTCTCTACAACAGTGCCCCAAGCACACAGGGCAATTTTTAGCATAATTTTGGTATAATGGCTGGAGAGCTTGTTTTTGTACATCTCTATAATTTCCCTTTAACTTCCCGCACCCCCACTTTCTAACAGAGATTTGGCATCAATTTACCTCTTTTGGATCTGGGGGGAGGTGACTGCACAGGGTGGTTCCTCCACCACCATCTCCAGCCACCTCATCCCACACTTGTGGTGCTGCCAGGTGTTCCATTAGGAACCACTGCAGGCGAGGTCTTTTCACACAACCCATAAAAGTATACTTTGGGTTGAATGCAGAGACCGAATGAAGTAAGGTTTGTCACGAAAAGAATGGTCTTAGTACTGAAAAGTGGAGGGCATGCCCCAAAAAGGGAGGCACCAGGTAAGTGGCCTTTCTCTGGACCCAACAAAGGGATTATTTATTTATTTATTTATTTATTTATTTATTTATTTATTTATTATTTGAAAAGTGAGGGTGGAGTTGAAGCTACCTAGAGTTCACAGTTGGTAGGGGTCTCACTGAACCCTAAATCTGCTCCTCCCCAGGAAAGAGGCCCAATCACCACCCCCACCCACAGTTTCCCAGCCCCAAGGTTGGGCTTCTCAACCCTATTTGCCTCTATAGGATAAGCTGGGGGTGGGGGTCAGATGGAAGGCCAGAAGGAGGAAGCGAAGCCCACATAACCATTCCAGTGACCCTTCAAGTATCCCTCCCCTCTGACCTCAGGAGTCTGTAAGAGCCAGTACTTGGCACCACACTGCTTGCCCTTCCATTTAAATCCCAGCAGACATCCCTTCACAAGAAGCTAAATAAGGTCCTCTCTGGGCCCCTCAGAGGGCTGGTCAACAAATACCTTCTGGGCATCTGCTGTTCAGAGTCAGGCTCTAATGGTACCTCCAGATGCAGACCACTAATCATACACATAGGGCCATCAAACTGAAAGGTTTTGTAGAGAGAGGAAAAACTGTTTCTCACTGGGAAGCTAGCTGCTCTCTTACAACTCAGATGCAAAAACAGTGTGCTTCCTTCTTCCTCTAGACCAGCAGCCAGGATTTTTCTGTCCATGAAGGGGGTCCTGCTCAAATGAGGACCTGCACTCTGGTGAAAACAGTGGAGCTTAACATCCATTCTCCCTCACTGCTCTCCAGCACTGGGTCTCTAAAAAGTGGTGATTCCTCACAGGAATCTTGTGACAACCTAATGGAGTTAATAACATTCCCTCCTTCCCTCCAGCTCTGTGGAGAGGCCTGTCCCACCCCCCACCCTTCCATACAAAGTTGAAAGTGCAAAAATTCTCAGAGTTGGGGAGTTGTCCACCCTACCCCACTTCCCTTGCCACCCACCCTCCACTGTTTAAGACAGCACTTCTGCTGAGCTGTAAAACCTGTGCTCTGGGACAGCAGCAGACCTCTAACCTTATTTCCAGCCTCTAAATCTCTTTGTCTTGGGACTAAGTGAGCAGGCCACCTTGAGGCCTAGTGTTTGCCGAGCTGTCATCACATTAACCAGCAATTCCTGGCCCATCTTTCTATGTTTCCAGACTCTTCTCCCCCAATTATCACTCCTTCCCCAGGAAGGGGTATGAGGGCATGTCCTTGGGGAACAGGACCTCAAACCAGTCACCTGCCACTGAGGATATAAGATCATACTTTTGAGCCAGGCCTGGTGCCGCATACCTTTAGTCCCAGCACTCAGGAAGCAGAGGCAGGCAGAGCTCTGTGAGTTCAAGGCCAGCCTGGTCTATATAGTGAGTTCCAGGCCAGCTGGGGCTACAGGGAGACCCTGTCTCAAAACAAAAGACCCCCCTCCAAAAAAAACCATTCTTTTGGGTTGCAAACCACACTAAAGTCAAGAAGATTTGGGTGTGCACTTTCCTTCTGCATTGTAGGACACACAGGTCCCCCACCCCTGCTGCAAGAGTCTAACTCCTGCCACCCCCCACTGAGCCTACCAGACCCATCTAAACATCTCCCAGAATCTCTGCCCAGCAGGTTTCATGGCTGTGAGGGATGAAATGACCAGACTAGAGGGTGTTAGTGGCCCTAGGAGAACTCACAGCTTGCAACTCTAATAGGTCTCCTTTGTTGACAACAGGACCCCAGTAAATGTTACAATGCGATACTTCTCCAGTGCACCAGCCACCCGGCCTTAGAGTCCCTGTGCTCTCTCCCAGGCCCCAGAAAAAAAAACCTCCTCCCACCTCTTTTCAAATCCAGAGTGTGAAGGTGAGTGGTAGATAGGGACTCCCCAGGAAGGCCGCCCACTGACGAGGACTAAGAGCACAAAGAAGGGGACATAGCTCAAGCTTGTGCGTTCGGCCACAGGCTAGTGTGTGCGCCCAGACGCCTGGCAATACAATAACCGAGGCAAGGAAGTATCAGTCCTAGGAAGTGTGGGTTGCAGCCCCAGAGACCGGCGGTACGCAGGAGTGACCGGCAGAGGCAGAGCCCAGCGCCCAGGAGAGACTTTCGTTCTGCCCGCGGAGCTCCTGGCTCCCGAAGCAGGGCTGCTGCTCCGACCTGACCTGCTGGGGCTGACTGCAACCCGGGCGCTCCAGCTCCCGCTCCAAGGCCCAGGCCTGCGCGCGCTGCGCCAACCCCTGACTGTCAGGCATGGCTACTGTGAGGACCCCAGGCCACAGCCTGTCAGGCTGCAAGGGTTGTTTTAAAAATAGACATTACCCTTAAAAAGTGAGTCTTTAAAAAAAAAAAAAAACCTACGTTTTTGGATTGCGCTAAAGGCCTTCTCGGGTCTATAATTCCGCATCCGCCTAGGGCGGGTGTCTCACCAAAGCCTCCACATCAAATCGTTTTGATCCAAGAAGACAAGGGAGTCAGCCGGTTCCCGCGAAGCTCAACTGCTCGTTTAGACCAGCAGACAAGGGGGCTACCGGCAACTGAGGGCAACTGAGTTTAAACCCAAAAGAATCCAGCCACTGGGATAACTCAGACTTTGAACTCCACTTGTGTGTGTTTTAAGCACTTTGGGATAATGTAGCTACAGAGTTCTTTCACACACAAAACAGAGCAGGAGAGGAGGCTCAACCTTGGTTTCTAACCCCACTTTGGAGCAGAGCCTCTGGGCAGTGTTGGGGGCCAACCATAGTGTGCAACAACGGAAGAAACTCTTACTCAAAAGCACCGGCAGGGAGGTCAGGACCACCCTGATGGAGAGGAGCAAAGGGCTCTGTTTACCTGCTTGCCAACCAGCCACTAATCAGCAACGCCCCCCCCACCATCTCCAGTCTACATTCCAAAATCAGCCTCTCTCTCCAGTAGTCTTCCTCACTCTGTCTTAGTTTACTGATGGTGAGAAAACATGAACAGGCAGAAAGCGGAGGTTCTTCAAGCAGTGATTCAGGTACCCTTGCCGGTTAAGGCTCCTTGGGCTCAAGGACAGAAGTTTTCCACTGTAGGATACCTTTGTGTGTTTTGTTCACACAAGCATCCACAACAACTTAGTTCTGGCGTGCAATCGGCAATGGGTTCGTTTTCCAGAGACTGAACCAGACTTGGTAACATAGGGTGACAGAGCAGCCTTCCGGTCTGCTGCAGAAACTGAAAGCACTGTGTGCTGTAAGACTTCACTGCCTTGCAGTTAGACCTCTCCTAGCTTCTCTTTCTGGTGGCCTGTGCAGTACAGGAGGACAGGCACCTGCTGGGATGCAGTGACTGGCTTGCTGTGGACCCCTGAGAAAGGCCAGTTCCCTCTCTATCCTCACTTTCCCTGGCTAAGGGACAGGTTCCCCTGAGTCATTCCACAGTTCTTTATTTCCAAATTCCCAAGTTGTTCTTCTTTACCCAATGAAACTGCTTGCTCAGGGAAAAACTGTATTTGATAGAAGGGTTCTGCTCAGAATCCTTCTGGTTTGTAGCAGAGAGTTGCTGGTGATCTAGAAACTCTGTTGGTGCACAGGACTGGCCCCCAAACCTCCTGAGCGCCATGGTCTTGATTTCACTTCAGAAACTCAGCAGTCCTCAGAAGACCTGAGTTTACCCCTGAATAAATCAACTAAAGGGACAATTTCTGACCCTGAAGGAGGGAGAAAGTTATTTTGCATGATGGGGGTCCTTTAAAATGCAAACCTGCACTTTGCCCCAGGCTCCCAGCTTTATAACTCCTTAGCACCAGACTAATAGAACAGGTGTTTAGAGGCAGAGCTGCAGGTCGAGCCCAGAGCAGGCGGATCAATTCCTTAGACTGTATGCCTCCTACCCCTTACTGTGTTTTTACAATAGGATTTCAGGAAAGGCTTGGAAGATGAGGACATTGCTCCCTTCCTCAAGTTGGCCCCATAAGTTCAGAGCCATTTCCAAAATTCTAGAGCCAAATGGCTACCTGCTGATCCCTTTTGGAGTGCCAACCTCAGGAGTTACCTATGAGTCAGAGGTGGCCCCTCAACTAGGCAGCTCCCTAGAGAAGTACTGGGAATAGTTGCTCAGGCACCAGGCCCAGCAGGCCCATTCCTGCCAGGGTCCCAGGGACCTCCTTCTGCATCTCCCTCCCATCTCAGATGAGATATTCCCTGACCATCTCCCATGGGTAAAGAGAACTGATTGTAAGAATAGCTTATAATCAGTTCTCTTTACCCAGGCTTCCCCTGCCAGCTAATCTCTGGTTTATTTGAAATCACTGACAACACGTTGTTTATTCTTTGATAATTTCTTTTGGTTAAAAAAAAAAAAACAAACAAACAAACAAAAACAAACCTCATTATAGCTGTGCGGAGACAGCAGGCGGGAACTCCACACCTATTTTGTAATATGCGGATATGAAAGCTCATTTCAGAAAACCAGTTAACAGCACTCTTCCCGAGTGGGAAGGAGACTAAGGAGATTCCGCCCTTATAAAACGGAAATTGCTTTTTAGTTTTCGCTGAAACTTCAGCCTGCAGGAATAATCTCTCCTAATTCTCTAGGCTCGGGCTCACCCTTGAGCAGACAAGTAACCGTCAAGGGGCTGGGGAGTTAGATATGTCTGTCTTTGAAAATCGGAGCAGGAAACCTAAGGAAAGTTCCCTGGGCCCAGCTGGGTAAATTTAAGACTTTAGGGTATGGGAGGAGTGCGCAGTGCTGCTGGCTGGGCTCAGCAGAGGCTGAGCCGCCGCTTCCGGCCACCTCGGTGCCTGCAGCCCAGAAGTAGAGGCTTCGCTCGTGGACAACGTAGCCATGGCCGAGCTCCACCCGGGTGGTGGTGAGAAATTCGCTTGGACAAGAGCAAATAACAGGCTGGCGGGTGGCAGCCGTGGAAAGGGCTTAGCGCCTAGTCTAATGGAGAAGGCCAGCGGCCGAGGGACACCTGTCACCGGCAAGGCTGCGACCATCCAGTGCCCTGTCTCAGGAGTTGTGATCGTTACCCTGCGCTGGCGACCGGGGCTCCAAGAGGCCTGCGCAGCGCTACCAGCCCAGCGGCCTGGAAGTCCTGGAAGCCCATCCGGGTTCAGAGCCTTGAGCTGCCCATCACTGTCAGAATCCCTCCAGCCAGGCAGCGGAGACCAGTGACCTGATTCTCTGCGGTGCCTGACCCAGTCACCCCCAGGGGCAGGCGGATGAATGCCCAGAGAGCCAACACAGCAGGCCAGTATTCCCTACAAGCCTTAGTGGGCAGAAGAACCAAGTCCAGCGACTATTGCTTACTGTAACACTTTTTAATCCTGAAAAGAAATTACGTTCAGGCCTGCCTGCCACTTTTGAAATAATTCCTTCTCTCTGGCTGTGTTGCAGCTCTTTCAGCCTCTGATCTCCCATCTTCATTAGGGAGGCTGGTTGGAAAAGCAGATGCCTGACAGACTTGAATCTGAGGGTCAGCCTGTCCACAAAAGCAAGCGTAGGCCTGCAGTGCCTGGGCCTTGCAGTACACCCAGGGCTTTCAGAGGATGGATCGGCAAAGTCCCTTATCGCCAGCGGGAGAAGAGGGACAGAGGGGTGAAGGAAGAAAAAAGCAAATAGAAGCAAAGAAGTGGAGGAGGAAGCTAAAAGAAGAGGAAGGGAAAAAAAACTATAATGGACTCAGGGGGGAGGAAAGAGGAGGGGGAAGGGAAGAACAGAATGAACTGGTTCTAGAAGGAAGAGAGAAGGGAAGGAGAGAAGAGACGGCCCGGAAAAAAAGGAAGCGGGAAGAACAGGCTCCCAATGAACTAGGGTTCCTGTGCCCGCTAGAGAAACACCCTGTAATAACTCTTGCCCGGTTCCCCCCATCCCCCGGTTAAGAAATAGTTTGATTGCCTGGCCCGCAGTGGCTGTGATCCCTCTTCCCTGGCCTGGGCTGGGCCCGGGCATGGCCTTCCTTAGACTCTCTAGCATTGGCCCCAAGGCCTCTGCTCCTGCCTGCTTCAGCTTCCTTTCCGGAAAAGGCCGCCGAGCTCCCCAGCGTCCCCAGCCGCCCACCTGCAGCCTCACCTTCCGGGAAGACCGCGCGCATCTTCAAGTAGCTCGTAGTGAGTCGGATGATGGACGCTTTGTCCAGCTGCGAGGTGATGGCCGACGGCAGCGGGAGCAGCTTGGCCAGCTCGTAAAACTCGCCATTTTCCTTCTCTCTCCTGGTTTTGGCCGCATTTTTGGACTTCTCCTTCATCGCGCCTCGGCTCTGGGCATATTAGACCCCCGCCACGTTCCAGGCCCGCGGAGTCCGGCTTGGGATGCGGCAGCGGGGGATGGGGACCCGAGCACCAGGGGCCAGGTGAGTCCGTAGGTGCCGGGTGTGGGCAGGTGCGAGAGATCAGCCTGGAGCACCCAACGGCGTCTCCAGAGTCGCCAGCCCAGAGCTAGCCTCAAACCAGCCGCGCCTCCCCGCGCTCTGCCGGCCTCAGGCTGGACTGTCTTGTGTCCACCAGTCACTTTCTGCTCGCTCTTCCTTCCAGTCTCTGGCCTCGACCTTCCTGGGGATGGAGAGATCCGGCGAGGAAGCGGCAATCCGCTTATTCCTTAACCGAGTGTTTGCACCGGCTGTGGCGAGGCCCCTTGTAGAGCGAGGGCGGCAAGGGCGGCGGTGGCCGCGGAGCCATGGAGCAAGAGCCGAGCGAGGTGGCCGGGGCCCAGCCCGGGCTTGGGGCGCTCTCCTGCCCTGCTTGGCGGTTCCCTGCGCTTGGAGCCCCGGCGTCCGGAGCCTGCGATCTGTGTCAAGACGCAGCTGCTCCGTGGTCCACGTGCGACCCAACTGCGTTTGTTTATGGCGGACCCGCCTTCGGGCGGAGCGCTGGGCTGCGCTGACCCGCGGAGGGGGGAACGGGGGGAGGGGCCGCGGCGGGGGCGGCGAATCTCGCCTCCGACCCCGCCGC